AGAGGGGAGGAGTAAATCTTGCGAGAACTTCCGGGCAAAACAAAATGGCGACCCGCGTAGTTCGGCTCGATTCGAACAGTGAAATAGCCATAGCATCTTTGAAGATATTATCAATTTGATCATCCACACCGATAGACAGTATTCCAAAATGAAGAAAAGCAGGTCTTGTTTCGCAGCGGGTGAGAATAGCCTACGCTGGCAAGTCTCACCCGGGGTGAGAGGTAGATCGTTTTTCTATTCTCACCCCGGATGAGAATAGCCACTTCCATATTTTAAATCAGTATCACAATATCCAGTACTCTGTGTGGATGATTCCAAGTCGAAACAGATGAGACCCACATTCTTTTACAAGACAAAGTAGTACCTCTAAAATTCAATATATATCGTGGGTTTAGAGAAAAACTGTTCTAATCTATTTTCAAATATATTTTGTAAATTGGGAGTGTATACAGACCACTCTTTTGTGATTTCGGAAAGTTTCAGCACCCTCTTGGCTCAGGGTAGACCTAGGTTCCTCTAGATCTATGGCCTAGTTTCGAGGCTAGCCTAGATCTAGATCTAAATGAAGATTGCGGATGTCTTTTCAACAAACGATTGTTTTTCCTCCGTTTTGGAGTAAGAGGAATTACAATTTGAAGAAAAGAACATCATAATTTCAATCGAGCAGTCACCCCCCCTCCGGTAGCAACTTTGTGAAGTGGGGAAAGTATTTAAATTGTCTGTAAATCTCAGGTAGGAGACAGGCCTGACTGGAATAATTTTTCTTTTGGCTGTAGGCGTAACTCAGTCATTTTTAAAGCTACGGCTCTGTTGTTTTAACACAAGTTGTGCTCCTTGGTCCCTTTGATTTTAATTAAAAAGAAAAGCTGATTTATTTTCAAAAAGCTTTTAAACGCTCAAAATGCAGCAAACTTTTTTCTGCCAGAGTCAGTCTCATTGGCAAAACAGAAGTCACAACTCATCTTAATCTTTCATTCTTCTTTTTTTGCTTTCAAAAGAAATATTTTCCTTTGTAGAAGCATAGATTAGTCGTGGTGGTACATAGGGTGGACAAACTGGTAGTTTAGTGTTGTTGATGTTCTATGGTTAGGTCTCGAGTGGCCCGGCTTTCGTTGCTGTAAGTTCTGGCATTGCTTGTCTCTTGTATTACGGCTGCAGCCAGCTGAAGGCACGGATAGACTCAGGTGTTTATTCGACACATTTGGTGGGAAATCAGAATGTGTGATATGTGTTGCTGCAATCAGGCACTTGTCTATTTTTGGCCGTATTAATGAAGTTTCTGGCGTCATCTTACAGTTTGTTCAGTGGCCTAGGTTTTTGATGAAAAAATACTCATCATGTCCTTGAAAATAGAAGTCGAGATATTTGCGATTGGAAGAGGTGGGGATCGTTTGATATCAAAAGAAAGAAGCTAGAAAATGGTGGCCAAAATTTGTTGACTTTCAAAGCTTTCAGGAAAGTCCTTTGAAACTGTAGACTTACATTTTTGCGCTGTTGATCAATATTTTAAAATAAAATGTAAGCAGGGATGAGTTGTTCAAGGGACATAAAAGGTGTTGAGCACAAAACAAAACATTTGATAACAGTTGCATGGCAGGCGGAAAAATGTCCGGTTTTGTTTTTTTTGCTCTCGTGATTTTGTTGAGCACCAGATTGCTCCGCGTTGCCATATATTGATGATGTACTTTTCTACTGCCTGCTCTCTCTTTCTATTCCTTTCTCTCTAGACTCTCTCTCTCTCTCTCTCTCTCTCTCTCTCTCTCTCTCTCTCTGTCTCTCTCTCTCTCTCTCTCTCTCTCTCTCTGTCTCTCTCATTTGCACCCCCTAATTTTCAACCCTTGTATGTGTGTCTTTCCCCCCCACGACCACCATCCCCTCCGGCCCGCGTGCTTGTGTGTTTGTATGTGTTTATGTCTGCACCCTTTCCTCCCATGTGCTGTATGTGTGTGTTTTGGAACCCCTGCCCTCCCCCCCCCCCCCCACCCTTGTCATATGTGTATCGTGTAATGTGCTGTGGTTTGTGTGTGTGTGTATATCTTCGTATGTGTGCTGTTGTATGTTTGATGTGTGTGTGTTTTGTGTATCAATGTATGTGTCCTGGTGTGTCGTATGTGTGTCCTATGTGTGTCCTGTGATGGTGTGCTGTGTGTCCTGGTGTGATGTGTCCTGTGTTGTGTGGTGTGTGTCCTGTGTTGTGTGGTGTGTGTCCTGTGTTGTGTGGTGTGTGTCCTGTGTTGTGTGTGGTGTGTGTCCTGTGTTTTGTGTGGTGTGTGTCCTGTGGTGTGTGTCCTGTGTTGTGTGGTGTGTGTCCTGTGTGGTGTTTTGTGGTGTGTGTCGTGTGTTGTGCTGCGGGCCCCAGGTGCAGGATCTGAAGAAGGAGAACAAGCTGTGGACGAGCGACCATCTGTTCCTGCACCAGTCTCTACTCATCCCGCTCTCGCCCGACAACCAGGCTGCCATGGATCAGCACGACAGCATCGTCGTCTACGACGGGACCACCCACACGCCCTCGCCGCACCAGGTGGCGCCTCCTGTGTCTTCCACCACGCTGCTCAACGGCACCTCCCCCCACGCCCCCTCCCCCCCTGCCCCTGCGCTCTCAGCTCAACCAGCGACGTCACCGAACACTTCCTCCTCCTCCGTGTCCTCGTCTTCTCGCACCGCCTGCCACACGGGGCCTGGCAACCTGCCAGGAGACAAGATGGCTGCCGCCACTGCTGGGACGACGACGGCCGATGATTCCGACGATTTCTTCAGCAAGTACGACTGCAGCATTGCCAAACTGAAGGGGGATATTGCCAAGATGGAGAGCAACGCCGTGTAAGATTTACTCTTGCTCTATCTCTCTGTCTGTACGTGTGTGTGTGTGTGTGAATGTGAAAATGAATACATTTTATGTATATATATATATGCATGTGCATGTGTAATGTTTGTGTGTGTGTGTGTCACCAGTGTGTTCATTCATTCATCTCCAATACATGCACTCCCATTTGAGCCCAATAGTCACCTGATTTGTTTTTTATTTGTTTTTTTTTTTCTCTTTTTATTTTGTCTCTTTGTGTGTGTGTGTGCG